AGGGGGGGGGGGGGGGGGGGGGTGGTAACCGATTCCATTTCACACTAATCATGTGATTATTTATTTTGGGGTCCAAGCTAGCTAGGCCAATTCCCTCAAATTCACGGCAGAAATTTTTAAATAACCTGTGTGACTTTAGCCTAAAATAATTTTGATACCTTATCATGTGAATATTTTTATTGAACAGAACCTATTTCTGGTCTTCTACATCATAAGTCATGACTTGACAACTTTTACAGCAAAGTTTATGCAGGCTTTGTGGGAATTTTTTACCATCATCTTGTGTTGCATAGTGCAGAAGTATATGAATACTCTAGCTGCACTCTTTCTAATAAATTAATTTTTGAAGTTGTTGCTCTAAATTTTGTTGTTACCGATGGGAAAAACTCAATCAATAGATAATTTTCAGGTGATTGCTTGTGAGGGGTTCAAATATCTTGTTTCAAGACTTTCTTGGATGAATTTTAATGGACAAACACACAGTACATGGAACTAATAAAAGATGATTTTTTTATTAATTCAATCAAAGGGACTTCAATTATAGAAAAGACTAGATTAACGATTTTAATTACAGTAGTAACTGTTTCCTAAGCTAATCTAACATTACTCCTAAAATACACAGATAGTGGGTATTGTGAGGGTTTAAATGTATCTTTCATCTTCTCCACTACATGTTTTTTATAACTACTGTTTTTGATGATATTATCTCCATCGACGATTATTTGATTGGTAACTTCTAGTTATTTTCTTCTTCGTTTCAAATGCGTTGTTTTGGATGATCATCTCTCGCATTTTTTCAAATTTTGTCACGTGACATCTTCCTAAGACATTCAGATGTCAATATATTGAATATTTTTATAATTTTATAATTTAGGTCAAAACAGTAATAGATGTTGATTTAATGTACTATTGAAGTAGACGAGCGTTTCCTATGAAGTCTTTCCACCAAAATTTGTTTTGCTAGATATACGCAGCATGTGTCACTCGATGGCTTTCTACCCCATTCTCATCTGTTTGCTTCATAGGACTACATAACACAGATGAGAAGCATCGAGAGTGTTGCCGTTTGCTAAGCCAAATAAGAGGACACTTGAGACCACTTTCGAAACACTCTTTTGTTTTTTACCCTATTGTCGGGGTTTTTTATTTGTAATTTTACTTGGTTTGCTTCACTCTTCTAGTAATTTGGACTCCTAAGGTTTTCCATTTAAATTGGTCTGTAGAAACTATTTACCAACTATTGATTATTTTCCATTTACATTGGTCATGTTCTCTTGCAATTTCAATTGTTAACTTGTTACTTGATAGAATCAATACAGTTATTGAAGATTCTAATATGACATTATTAACAATAACAAATACTTTTTCGATTTGGAGAATTCAAGCGAATCGTTAATTTCGTAGTAGAGTATTGTCCCTCTCTTTAATAATAAAGCATGGTTGGATTCCAAACTATAGAGTAATCGTTACTCACTAGTTCCGTCCTAGCTCTCAGATCTGCAAATTTCATCTCTATAACTGTTAAAAAGAGAGCAGTCTTTTTTCATTCTCTATCTAGCACTCTTTGCTTTTCATAACAGTATAAAATCGACATGATTTGAGAGTTGTCTATTTGTCGAAGTTTACCATTTAAACTTGCGTCGATCATCCTGTTTCTAAAAATTTGAGAAAAGTTTGCCACACACGTGATTGGTATATGATGAGAATCGTCATGATTTTTTAATGGACTTTTGAGATTGGGCTATTTAGATACAAATTAAGAATTTTAGTGACAAAGTAGACATAATTAAAAAATTGGAGACCAATAGACATTAAGCGCATACTTTAAGGACTAAAAGTATATTTTACCCAAATTTATGTGCATGCCAGAACTATAAACTAATGAAACGGTACCAAAAATTATGTTGTGATTGATTCATCTCTCATTGATCATGAATAGTCATAGCTCCACATAAAAAGTGTTGCTTGACTTCTATAAGTTATATTTTTTGTGATTTGTCACAATATTTTTATGGTCGTTCACCACTTTAATTTTGAGTTGTAATTTAAACAATTTTAAGTTGTAACTTAAACCCTTGAAAATTTATAAACTAACTTTTAAACGTTTTAAATTTTGGCATAATAGCAAAGGAGGTGCTAGAAAATGTTCAAGCAGATTGACAAATAAAATAAAATTAAGGTTTTGAGGCATGTATGATCACTTCTTTAAAGTGATATTTGGTCCCACTTGAAAGAGTTTGTTAAAAGATTCTTGATAAATGACTTATAGGATACAACAAAGCGTGTAGGTGAAGAACTACAATTAGCAATATTAAAAAACATCCAAAAAAAATTCATTGAACCATTATAATTCTCTCTGAGTGAGAGAGAGAGAGAGAGAGAGAGGAATTATACAGAATTCTAGTGTGTTTTGTGAATGAAGTCTAAGGCTATATTCATAGACATTTTGGTGTCTTTTTTCCAAAAGTCACAACCATCCAAGTATATATTTTTTTCTTAAAAATTCCCTTCTAAAGAGGTATCTTTTCTTAAAAGTCACAACCTTTCAACTAGTGTATTTTCCTAATAATCATAACTATTCAAATCATAGTATTTTTTAATAATCATAACTATTCAAAATTATTCAATCAAACTATAAATAAAGTTTCAAGTTATAAATAAAAATTCCCTTCAGCGAACTGTTCTTCCTTCGACTGCTATCAGCGACCAGGGTCCAGGGGCAGGGATCTTCGACTGCGATCAGCTACCAGCGAACTCAAACTCCTCCCTTTAAGGTAAAAAGTTTTGTTGTGATTCGATGGGTAAAATCATGGTTGGTCACTGCTTCAATTTTCTTAACTTCCAAAGCATCACTCATGCTAAATCCATCAATTAAGCCTTGCAAATACGACTGAGCTTGGAATCTCAGTCACTTCAGGAATTTGCGAAAGCTTTAGCAACCACTTGATCTGACCGAAAGTTTTAGTATTAAAAAATGCTTATACCTAGGGGCGAAACAGAAGGCAAAAAGGAAATAAACAAAGAGATCGTTAGTTCATGGTAGAAAGCAGATACGGCTGTTCATGAAAGTACGAGGGAAACAGAAATTTTAAGAAAATACAACAGTATTGCATCCCCAGAAAAAACATAGACAAATTGTATGCATTTTAGACATATTTTATATGTTTTAGCTAAATTATTATGTTTTACAATTATTATATATATATTTTTATTTTTTTTTATTATATGACCGGTCCGACCAGTGACCCACTGATTGAACCAGTGAATCATTGACCCAGTCCTAGGTGGTTTGATGGTTGGTCCGGTTCTGATAACATTGGTTTCAACGCCTCAAAAAGTTACGAAGAAGTCCATATATGGCAACCCACTCTCTCCCATTGCCAATTTCTGATTAGGAATAAGCTCAACTGAATCTTTTTCCCTGATATGACCACCTCACAAACTAACTTATCTTTTTTTGTGCAATTGTGGTGGAGTTCCTTTATACCCTCAACTCTTCTTTTAAATAATCTCACTAAACACCTAGGTCATTTAGGAAGTATCAGATCTGGAAAGTTCTAATAACACCCATATGAGGAATTTCACCTTTTTTGCCTTAAGAACAAAAGGACCTAAAGGTTGTAGTTGCTTTAGAATGTGAACTCCACACTCCACAGAGTATCTTAAAATTCTGTGTCTTTGATTTTAGTTAAAAAATAGCAGATGGAAACGCCCACCGGAAACCCACATAAGAGTGAGGGAGGGAGAGTAGTTACCACTGAAATAATGCTAAATGGGCTAAAAAACTCAACACCGCCGTAACACCACGAACAAAATTTAAAAATTTTAATAGTTTAAATTAAATATAACAAATAATAGTATAACGTTATATCATTTGATTTTTTTTTTTTTGATCCCTTTTGTTAAATAGATTATTATCCTAGCTAAAACTTGCATGTCAAATCATCTTTTCATTGCCCTTTTATTCTTGTGCATGCAATCCCTCGCGTACATGATTCTCTAGCTAGCAGCTAAGCTAAAGAATGACAAAGCCCACATTACTAGCTAGTGTGAGATAGAAGAGGGGGATAGAGAGAGCAGCACAAGTTAATTCTGAAGCCATTTCTTAATAATTTAGAAACATGTTAAAATTTTGACTTAATTTTTTGATAATAGCTGACGAGGTTCAATATCATAATTGTAATATTAATCGTTTTTAATTCAGATTATATCACTAGACATATCATTATGTTACGTTATTCAATCATTTTTAAAAATCCCAAAACTATTATTCCTATTTTTAAAGGTGTAATGCTAGATTCGCTAAAAAAATCCCACTTTTTATTAATTTAAAAACACCCGCATGAAGGTTAAGTCCACTGTCAATATTGTACTTTTTTTTTGCAATTAGAATGGCCCATAGTTGCTTAAGCTGGTCCCTTACCAATTGTTTATTTCCGTTTGGCCTTCTCTTTCCAAATGAGTTATGTTTCATTTGGTATAATGAAAAAATAAAATGATGAAAAATTAGAGGAAAAAATAAAACATGCTTTCTAAGGATGAAAAAGTGGATAAATTAACTTTCATTTTAACTCACCAAAATCAATCTCTCCAAAATCAGAAGAAAAATAGATGCAAAATTAATTATTTATGTTAAGATGTATCTTATTTGTTTATATATTATGTATACATTAATTTCATACAAAAATATAATAATAAAATATATATTTATATATATATTTAAAAAAATTTTAAATTTTAAATAAAAAAATATTTTTTTCATCTTAACTAGAGTGAAAATTTTCGACTCAACATGATGACACGACTTGAACTCGATACGAATTTTATAACACGAATATGATTATAACTTCAGACGAACTTGAAAATGACCTGACACGCGAACAAAAAATATGAAAGACTCATAATTTTATGCCTCAACATGAATCTAATATGACACGACTCAATTGTTACCCCAAATAGTAGACAAAAAAAATTAAAAAAATTGATAATTTTTATTTTCCATCCATCCAACCAAACACAAAAGAAGAAAATTGTATTATTCTTACTTTTCATCCTTAAATGATAGAAAGTGTATCCCTCATACTTTTCATCTTTCCTACTTTTTATCCTTCTTATCAAACATAGCATTAGTGTAATCATAAAGAATTTCCTAATGTGCTGATTCTTCTTATTTTTTCTTTTATGCTTCGTTTGGTATGATAAAAAAATAGAAAGATGAAAAGTTGAAAGGATAGAAAGTTGAAAGGATAAATAAAATATCATGTTTGGTAAGGAAGGAAATAGAAATGATGAAAAAGTGAATGAATTAACTTTTCTTCCGACTCACCCAAATCAATCTCTTCAAAATCGGAAAGAAAGTGGATGGAGAGTTAATTATTTGTGTTGAGATGTATCTTATTTGTCTATATATCTTTTTATATATACATATATTATGTATACATTAATTTCATATAAAAATATAATAATAAAATATGTATATAAAAATTTAAATTAAAAAAATAATTTTTCCAGCTTATTTTAATTAGAAGTGAAAATTTTTTACTCAACATGATGATGCGAATTTTATGACACGAACTTGATTAGCTCGAACACGAAAATAAACAGATTAACTCGTAATTCGATACAATACAATTAGTTAAATGAGTTGAGTTAGGTGTGACTAATGTTCGTCACAAATCTATAATAACTCAACATGAATCTGACATGACACGACTCGATTGTCACCCATAATATTAGCCAACACAAAAAAAAAAAAAATTTAGTCATTTTCATTTTTTATTTATCCAATCAAAATAAATGAAAAAAAATGTATTATTTTTATTTTCTTTCTTTGAAAAATAGAAAATATATTTCTTCTAATGTCTATCCTCCTTACCTTCCATCATTCTTATCAAACAGAGCATTAAATTATCTAAAAAGAAAGGAATGACTAATGTGATGCCAATAAATCGTATTTTGCTCACCTTACAGGCTCACATCTATTTTTTTTTTCAAAAATCCACTCCCTTGATTCTCCAATAACATGAATTTGCTTTAACAGTGTTTCCTAGCCCTATAAATACAAGCCTCCAACTTCAAAGCTCAACAAAAAGATCTTCCAAGAGAACAAAAAGAAAGAAAGAAAACCCATTGTGTGATCCAATCTCCTAGCCCTTCTCTCTCTCTCTCTCTCTCTAAAATGGCCCGAATATCAGATCCTCTCGTAGTTGGGAGAGTGATTGGAGATGTTATTGATAATTTCTCTCCAACTGTTAAGATGTCTGTAATTTACAACTCCAACAAGCAAGTCTATAATGGCCATGAGTTTCTTCCTTCCATGGTGACCTCTAAACCTAGGGTTGATGTTCTTGGGGGTGATATGCGATCCTTCTTTACACTGGTATTTCCAGTTACCCCATCGATTAGTTCTCTAATCTTCTTAAAATATTTATTTGTTTTTTCATGTGATGTCATTTGAAGCTACCTTTTTTATTTTTTTTGGGCAGATCATGACAGACCCAGATGTTCCAGGCCCTAGCGATCCATTCCTAAAAGAGCACTTACACTGGTATACTGATATAAAACCTCCAGTAACTACTCTAAGAAAAAAAATCATGAAATGAAGAAATAATTGAGCACTAAATATAATACAAGCTTCAATAATGCTGTTTAATTAGTACCATGCACTATATAGTAACACCAGTTAGGGTTACCCACATACGAAAAATATCATGGCTTGTCTACTCATATGCAATCAATAATAATATTCATGCCTAATTTGTTGACATAATCTATTACAATTATTGAATTGGTAGCGGGTTCCAACAAATATTGGAACACACTGTCAATATATTTAATAGTTGTTTGTGATTAAATTAAAAAATTATATCAATGATTTAGGTCCAAATAACATTGATTGTGCAATTTTAGCTATTAGCAAGGGACTAAACAGTTTGTACTTGATTTGGCCATCTTACAGGATGGCCACAGACATCCCAGGCACAACAGATTCCTCGTTTGGTAAGTCTACTTGTCCACTGGAGAGAGAGAGAGAGAGAGAGAGAGAGAGCATGTGATGAAATGAGTTAATCAACTTGTGGGTGTAACAAATACACAGGAAAAGAGGTGGTGAGCTATGAGAAACCAAGGCCAAACATAGGGATTCACAGGTTGGTGTTTCTGCTGTTCAAGCAACAAAGAAGACAGGCAGTGAACACTCCACCACCTGCATTGAGGGATGGGTTTAGCACTCGGAAATTTGCGGAAGAGAACGAGCTAGGCCTTCCTGTGGCTGCTGTATTTTTCAATTGCCAAAGGGAAACGGCTGCGAGAAGGCGTTGAATATTTGATTCAAAAGTACGAAAAGATCACCAGACCTCATCACTCAAAGCAGTGAATGGAATGGCCCTACTATTGTGGTTCGACTACGTACGTACGAACTTATGAACTGGCAGCTAGGTATGTTTTGCCAGAAGAATAAAGCAATGGGTGTTTGTGCAATTGAGCTTCTTGAGCACAATTACCTTATAGACTGCACTATTATTTGGTGTATTTCTAATTATATGGTAATAAGGATAAAAAAATTAAGTAGAAGGGCTTGCTCAGTGTTCAATGGAATCTCTCTCTCTCTCTCTCTCTCTCTCATGAGAAATGCTGCTTAGATCTAATATGCTAGGAAAATTCTAGGTGAATATAATTTGGGGTCCTAATCATTCTTTGCTACAGTAGATTTTACTATTGATTATGACCCGATGATTATGATGCATTATATTAATAAATAAAATTAACAAATTAAGTCTAAATAATATTATTTTTGACGAATTACAAAATTATTTATAATTCGTTTAAGGTCAACTTATAAACACGAAAAAGTTAGTTATGAGTCAAACGTAGTCCAACAGTTACTAATAAGAAAAAGTTTAGATTGATTCTCGTATACACATTAGAATTATTTTAAAATTAGTTGTAAGTTTCAATGTTAGATATAATTTATTTTTATCCTAATAGTTATATTGAATTAGATATTCAAATTAAATTCTCAAATTAAGTCTAGATATCGTTATTTTTTATATTTTTATTATTATTGTTTTGCTTATCCTTTGTTTGTTATTTTGGCAAACTTTGAAGGTGTTTTGGTGCTTTCCAATTTGGAATTGTCTAAGCTATGGGAAAAAAAATTCAGTATTTTATCGATATTTATCACATTTTTGTGTATTTTTATTACATTTGAATCTACATTTATTATATTTGTGGGTGTTTTTATTATTGTTGTGGTACCGAAAAAAATAATAAAAATAATTATTACAATAGTAATAAAAAACACTCACATCAGTGATAAAAACATCCATAAAATAGATAAGTTTTTTTGTACAAAAAAAAATTAATAATAATAGTTATTACAATATTGATAAAAATACTCATAATAACGATAAAAATATTTATAAAAGTAATAAATTATCTATAAAAATAAATAAAAAATTAATTATAAAAATATTTATTAAAATAATAAATGTTAGAAATATAATACTCATTTTTTTCCGCATCGTTGTCAAGTCCATCAGCTTTATGTAGATTTTGACAGTCTAAAAAAAGATGTGGATTTTGACAGTCTATAGGTAGAGGTTGTCTGATTTGAGTTCAAATGCATCCATAACACTTTTGGGTACCAAATAATAAATTTTATTCTATGGTGCCAAAAAATAAATTTTTAATATTTACCAAAATATTTGCCATTCCACAGTTTAGAACCAAAAAAATAAAAATAATACGTTACTAATAAATAATTAATTTTTGATATCATAGTCGACTGCTTAATAGACATAATTTTTTTGTAAAATAACAAACTCTTGTTTGATCGTGACACTTATCTTATTTCTCTTTTAAGTAGATCGGATGTGTTTAGATAATGGGATAGAGAGGATTAACACCATAAAAGTAAATAAAGTAATGAGTGTTATTTATTCTTTATTTGAGTAATATTTTTTGCTGTAGGATAACAATCCGAGTCAAGTCTTGACTCGATTGCAACAGTGGTTCATAATCCCTTATACCGGTTATAATTAACTCACTCTCCTCGTGGGTTACAAACTGAGTCAATGGGTTATTCCCCTATAGACATATTTGCCCCTCTATCAACATCATTGTGGCTGGTGCACAGAGGCGACTAAGAAGACGGGATAAGCCACCAATCCCCCCCCACCTCTCTCTCGCTTTATTGTCGAAGAGGACACCCAACCTCCGGCAATCTCCACCTTACTCCGGCGTTGTTGATTGTAGTAGAAAGAGTGATTCGTTAGAGCTGGTTGGCAAAAGGACGAAGCCCGCTCAAGCCTCGGTTTCATCTCTTCAATCGGCACCTTCTACAGATTTTTCTGTTCAAAGAGGTTATTCTGCTATCTTATACAGATTTTCTATTCAAGGTTCTCTACCTAGGACGTTGAAGAAGATGTTGACTCAAGATCAAGTAGGATTTTCTGTCCAACCCTCGGTTTTGTTTGCATTTTGAAGGACTAAAGCCTTATTTGGCTTTATTTCCTTCTTGGGTTTGATTCTTGTGATTGTTTGATTCTTTCAAATAAAAATTCTCTTTTATTAAAATAAAAAATAAAAATTATAGATGTTTGTAGGTTAAGTGAGAAATCCAAACAGAAGATTGTATTGGATTGGATATGTAAATGGATAAAATAGTAAATATCTAAAAAATAAATATCAAAATCTGTGGGTCCCATAAAAAATAAATATCAGATTTTCGTGTATTTGATGGTTTTTGATTTCCCACAAAATCTGCACGAAATTTTTTTTTCCCATGAAACTTGTTTTTCTGTTTCTCTCTTTACCACTCCGCCCCTATTTGTAGCACACCACAACTCCTCTTAGCACTCATCTTCTCAGCCAACTCTTGAAGGAAGATTGTCTCTCAGTACTCAACTTCTCAGCCGACTGCTCAGCCAACTTTTTTTTTTTTTATATCACACTCCAACCAACTGATAAGTAAGTTTTTCTTCCATCTTCAATTGCTCAATGTACTAGAATTGCTATATGTACTAGTTTTAACCTTTCACTGAGTCGAGATAATTGTGTTAATCGATTAAAAACCATAAAGAAAAAGTTTAGATTTATACAGGATATGTTGAGCAAAAGTGAATTTGCTTGTAATCCAGTGGCAAAAGTAGTCGAGTGTAGTGATCAAGTCTGCGCTACATATGTTGTTGGAAGTATCATTTTAAATAATAATACTTCTAATTTATATTTTGCAATAAAAAAAAATGAAAGCAATTTATCGAAACATGCCTAACTATTGTTTGATACATTTTTTTAGGCAAATCGAGATGCAAAAAGATTGCGTGGTAAAAAGATTGATACGATTGATGAATTAACTATTGTTTGTGGCAATGATCAAGCAACCCGAGCATGGGCATGTTCAGGCAAATATATCAATGCAAACTCGTCAAGACAAATGAATGATAGTGACGATGATTACACACCGATATTTGATCTTAATGAGAATACAACAGTCGATGACTTGGGTGGTATAGAAGGTAATGGATCTACACAACAACAAGAGAGTGGCAGTAGTCAAATACATGCTCAAAGCAATCGCAACCATGGATATTCAAAGCCTATGAGACGTAATTCAAAGAAGCCGAAAAATGCAAAGATAGTTATCGAAACAATGAATGTTGTTGCAAATAACATGGTAAGACTAACGGATGCATACGAGAAGAGTAAGTCTTGCATAAATTATTCAGACCTTTACAAAGCTGTCATGGATGTTGAAGGGTTAGATATTGATAGTCAAATGACAGCTTTTGCGTACTTGAACACAGATTCTGTCAAAGCGAGAGCATTTTTGATCTATCCCGAAGAAATGCTCTATTTATTTTTAATAGTCGAATGCATGCATTTTCGATTAGAGGATTATAAGTTCCTTGGACTTAGTTTTATAGTGGTGGTCGAATAAAATTGCATGTTATTTTAATAATTTGGACATAATTTATGTTTGGTGAGATTTTGGTTACTACTTTTGTGTCTTAAGTATTATTAGGTCATTTTAGGTAGTATTTGTTATTGAACTCTACTGAATTGTTTTTGAATTTTTGTTTAATAATTTGGTTCTATGGTTCTAAGGCGTGTGCTCCTTCTCTTATCCATTCACTACAACAAAAATCGTTTTTTGTGACGATTTTTTTCGTCGCTAAATAAAAAAAAATCGTCGCCAATTATTTTTTGCGACGTTTTTTTTGTCACGTGTTCGTCTCAATAGCCTCGTCGCAAAAAGTATTTTGCGACGCAATTTTATTTTCATCGCAAAAAAAAAAATTTGCGACGAAAAAAAAACGTCGCAAATAGTTCAAAAAACGTCGCTAAAATCTATTCCACGAAAAAAATAAAAAATAATAATTTAATTAATTTTTCGCGATGTAAAATAATCATCGCGAATTATTTGTTAAATAAATAAAAATATAAAAAATAATAATTTAATTCAATTTTTGCGACGTTAAAAAATCGTCGCTAATAATTTTTTACATAAATAAAAATGTAAAAAATAATAATTTAATTAATTTTTTGCTACGTAAAAAAATCATCGCGAATAATTTTTTACATAAATAAAAATATAAAAAATAATAATTTAATTCAATTTTTGCGACGTAAAAAAATCGTCGCTAATAATTTTTTACATAAATAAAAATGTAAAAAATAATAATTTAATTAATTTTTTGCTACGTAAAAAAATCATCGCGAATAATTTTTTACATAAATAAAAATATAAAAAATAATAATTTAATTCAATTTTTGCGACGTAAAAAAATCGTCGCTAATAATTTTTTACATAAATAAAAATGTAAAAAAAAATAATTTAATTAATTTTTCGCGACTTAAAAAAATCGTCGCGAATAATTTTTTTACATAAATAAGAATATAAAAAATAATAATTTAATTCAGTTTTTGTGACGTAAAAAAATTATCGCTAATAATTTTTTATATAAATAAAAATATAAAAAATAATAATTTAATTAATTTTTCGCGACGTAAAAAAATCGTCGCGAAACATATTGTTCCTATAATTTTGCGCGACGATTTTAATTTCGTCGCAAAAAAGTTCTCTTTTTAAAAAAATAATTCATAAAAAATGATATTTCAATAAAATTTTTCACCTGTACACTAATAATACATGTGTTCAATAAAAAATTAACATAATTAATACATTGCACATCTTTTTTTTTTAAAAAATAATTTTATTTCCCAAAAGAATGAATTACAAGAATCAAAGAACAAGAAGTTCTAAAAATAGAAAAAATGGTTTTAATCCATCAAAAGGATTTAAACTATCTCTAATTACATTTAATGTCTCTTAAATTTGAACAACTCCAACAGTCCAGCTTCATGCCTTGAAATATCACCTTCAAGCTCAACAGATCAGTATCAAGATCAAGAAAAAGTGTCACATATAATTTACCATTGCACTTGAGTAGAGACCAAGATTTTGCATCTGAGAACTAGTTTGAGATTAACTGAAGGCAGAGTTCATCTCTTGGGCGTTTTCAAAGGTATAACCTAGTGTAGATGAGGGAAAGACATAAAGAGATTGACTTAAGGCAGTGTATCCGATTGCTACAAAAGAGATTGCAATTCAGAATAGCACCTAAATCAACTAGATATGCCTACAGGGTGTGTAAGCAGAGAAAAAAATTACCTGTCAACCAGTAGCTGCAGACAATCTTCCAATTTACCCAACATAAATAGACACAAGAATGCAACATTGTTTTTTCCATTCTCTTTGGCAATAGATGCAAGTTCTGAAATTCCTTTAGCATCTCCAAGAGAAGAATACAGTAATAACAAACCACTCAAGTCATTTGCATGCTTTAAACATTCCTCTGCCATCTCCAACTGAAAAGTATCAGAAGAAATGGAATGAATAAAAAATGAAATTCGTGAGATGGAAGAACAAAACTTATTAAGAAATGATTAGAATAAAACTTGCATTTTTTGTGTCAGTATAAAGATGGCCTTGGAGGTGGGAAATTGTTAAGCTGGAATTCTTCCCTAACCCCATTGATGGGTTCCTGTAAATGTTTTGATGGGGTCTAAGGACTGTAAATCTCTACTGTGCCTCCCCGCTTCACCCCATTGAATTGTGAACAATTTGAACCGTGAAGACTATTTCTAGTATTTGATGACAAAAGTCTATTTCCATTTGAGTTCACTTCCCATGGATGAAACATATTTGCCATCTAAAGTATGCATTTTTTCCCTTTGCAACACCCAAAAAATTGCAACGTCCTTTTCATGATTTTGTCCCTCCTTATCGTAAATTATTTATCCTATCCATGTTATTTGACTCATTTGTAACTATTTAAAAATGGCTTAAGATATCCACATTTATCCTCCAACGCCCAGATCCCAAAACTAAGACCAAGAATTTCATCATTACAATACGCCAGCTTACAGGTAACTTCTAATTTAGTAGTGTTATTTAAAGCCTACAAAAAATTTCAAACAATCAAAGCAGACATTAATAGATTAAGTTATATGAATCTCTCTTGTCAAGCAAATCACGATAAATATAACTACTTGCTTAGTTTTGGGGGAAAAAGCTATGTCAAGTTTCCTATGGCCGACCATTATTACCATAATTCAGTTAAATTTGACGTTCATGTCAAACCCACCTAAATATGTGGATTCTCACTTGTAGAAGCTAGCATAGCCATTCCAATCTATGCAACCTGTGTAGTTAAGGGGCAAGCTTCATCAATTTTTTAGAATAGTCACAATTATTTTTCATCTAAAATAGAATCCAACAAAGAAAAACAAAAATGCAGATAACAGTTCGCTCAAGGTACTTCATCACATATCCAACATGCAAAAGCTACAGCTTAAAGAATGCAACCCCATAGCCTGAAATTCTGGATCAAAAACAAAAGACAACTGAATTACTCCATCAGTGCCAGTTGAAGCAAAGTCGCTGGGCGTGTGAGATAGAGACTGGGAAGAGTGTGTAGTCCACCATCCATGATTGAAATTTACCCTTGCATTCTAAACTTATAGTGACTGAGCAGTGGCTCTAGATTTTACTTGTTGCATGGATTAAACATATCATTGGTCCATCTTCCAAGAGAGGTAACAATGCAGCAAGTTTATCATGTGACAAATGAGCAGATTCAAATGCATGACGGAGTTGGTAATAGCGGGCAGATGATTATTCATTAGCAACTCTAAAAGGTTTACCCCAAATGAAGCCTAAATTGTAAAAGCTCTTTCAAAAGTTATGAATTAGGCTGACAGATAATCAACTATAAAAAAAATACTATGATTAATTTAATACCAAAACTTGCAAGGTAGACCTGTATTCATCAAAGTAATTGGTCTAAACTTAATAATAGTGCTTCTGATCACTCTTTCTAGCACAAACTAAGACCCAAAACCTCAATTCATCTTCTTCTATTTCATTTTCCAGTAACCAAACATAAAATGCAAACCTGAAAAACCTTTAATAACAAAAAACAATAAAATAGACAAACAAACAAATAAAAAAACCTCACAACTTAGGTCGATAATAGAAGCTGAGTTCTATTTTTCACTCAAGAGAACATGGACAATCTTATTTGCATAATGTTAAAATAATGACACTATGAGAGTAATAAGTCATAACCTCAAGAATTAACACTCTCCTCTGCCACCAAACATACTTCATATACTTTGTCCAATGTCATAAAGAACAATGCATAACAGCCATTTAATCTACATTGAAATCTAATTTTCCCTCATAAAAGCAATAATTCAGAAACTTTGAAAAATAGCTGAAACTCCCAAATTATGGACGTAGTCCTCACTTTTGTTTATATATTCAATGTTATCCAGTGCCAAATACTCATAAATTCGACTACTTGAAATTCTTTTGCCGAAAAAAAAAAATAGTAGTCCCATGTCAATAAATACCAAAACCCATGACATTCTGTAAATGGCGATTGCATAATCTCGTATACTCTAATTCATCTTTCTAAATTACAAAGTCAATCCAAATTTTGGGTTCCCTATATAGAATATACAAATACTAACTTGCATAAGTAAAATACTAACTTGCATAAATTAATACTAACAGAAATTTGGACCCAACAATAAAATTTGACGATAATGTTTGTTCTGGGCCTATTGACATTGAAAACTTTAAGGTGAAAATTGCATGAGACAAAACAAAGCTATTTGGTTCAGCATCTGCATTCCTTTTCCACTATTTGCATTCTTTTTTCACTAAGTTTCGTGTTATGATGGGATTATTGTCAAAACCAACAAGCCATTCGAACATAAAACTCTAAATGCGAACATTAATCAACAAGTGATTCGAACATAAACACATAGCAAACACTAAAATTAGTATAACCTACATACAAAAGAAACTATACCACGCTATGCAAGTCCTTTTCCGGTACCAGATGTACGGCTTCCCCTTCTTCACAAAGTACTTTACTTTTGACTTGTATATTTCCTCCCTACTAAAGAAAACCATTCAGAGGATACATATAATCAAAACACCAATTACAAATTTTTTGATATAGTTTTCATTCTTACAATATTCAATTCATTGACAAAAAAAAAATCGGGTATGATTACCTTCTTTTAGCACCAGCTTTGATAGTGTTAAGGCTTCCTTCCAATTTGCTCAAAGTTTTCTGATAGTGAAAACTTGCTCATTGTCCACCAAAAAAAAAATTAATAAGTAAAATAGAGTTTCTACAAAAATTACAAAGCCAAAAAAAGAATATCCTACATACCTTCACATTGCCCAGGTTAAGCAGTACCACAAGATTCACATTTACCAGATTCAAGGGGCAGACCAAGAAAGGGATTTGAGGGTTGACTAGCATGGCTGATAGGGCAGTCACTATTGGATGATGTACACTAGCAAAAAGAATCACAATAACCAAGCAGACCATATGTTGTTCAAAGTTCAAGTATCCC